GAGATGAATTTTATTAATACTCATGTTGGCTTACGTTTCGAAAAAATAATCTAAAGACTGTAATATATTTAAAATATATTTAATATTTAATAAGTAACAATAAACTGGGCAAAGCGTATTAACATATTTTCAAATAAATGAAAAAAAAAAAAAGAATAAATTTTATAAATCTTGAATGTATTTATTGATTATCTAAGTAATATTTCATAGTAAGCATTTATTTAATCGGTACAGTCCATTCCGACAAAAGATTAGGGGAAGAGTATAGAGGGTGGTTTAGCTCTACAAGTTTTTATCTCGTTGGCGAATTAACCAAGTTTGCACTCACTAATGACGTTCCGATACGCATACAACATCCATAAGCCGGTTACGTACCGATTCCTGTTTCGACAAATGCTACCAATACAACAGTATTCTTCATCTCCTTTTTTCATCATTTATTATACTACAAGCACCCTAAATATATCAAGAGTCGTGCAACTCTTCTATAATATCCCAAACATTTACCTTAAAACCTGTTGTATTCCGCGAATCCTTCATTATTTTATTGATATTTATCAGTTACTCTTATAGTTGTACTTGTATTATATTTTTAAATTATTTATACAAGATATTCGATTATGATAATATTTAAATATTGAAAATAAATAAATGCTATTTATTTGCAATATTTTTCATAACATTAAATATTTTTAAATAAATTATTTATTTTTATTTTTATAATAATAATAATAACGAACCTAAAGGGTAATAATAATAATAATTGCAATTAAAATATTGCAACTTTTGGATTTAAAATAAATGCGATTTATTCGTCATATTTATTATAACATTAAATATTTTTAAATAAATGATTTATTTATTTTTAATAATAATAATAATAATAACGAACTGAAAGGGAAATAATAATAATAATAATTGCAATTAAAATATTGCAACTTTTGGATCACGTTTTGAAAATATTTTATTTTTTCTTATCTGTATTTATTTTATTGGGTGGATTACATACGAGCACAATTGTTTAATTGAAAAAAACTTTAGCACATGTACCCACGTATTTCAAGTATACTTATCTAAGTGTGTATAAGGGCAAGCGATCGCATACCAAGGACTTGACATTAGTTTTTTAGTATGAAGGCTTCCCAAGAATTGAGTCGGGAGTCCTTTTAGATTGGATTCTGGCATCGATTCAGGTACGTTCTTTGAAGAAATACAAAAGAATAATGTGGGTCATCACCTATTTATTTTTATTATTTTTAAATTCATCATCATCATCATCATTATTATTATTATTATTATTATTATTATTATTATTATTATTATTAATACATATTATATATTATGTATATATTACTGATTAATAGTATAAACATACATTGAATATAAATAAAATAATTAATCTGATTTTCTTGGATATATAGACAATATATTATACTGATGAATAATTATGTTGAATGAATAGGTCAATTCGTAAAGCATTGCGTCGTCGCCTCATTATTTTCACATTGATCACGGTAGAGTATTATTAATGACGATAAAATATAGTACGTCACGTGTGTATACACATGAAAAAAAAAAAAAAGAATAAAAACAAAAAAAGAGAGGGTGTGACAGAAAAAGAGTAAAACAGTAAAGGGCTTTGCAATGTAACCAAGAAAGAAATGGTGAGAAAAGAGAATGAGAGTAAAAATATGAAGAAGAAAGAAAGAAGGTGGGTGGTATAAGGGAAAGTGAGAGATAAAGTATATTATGTATTGCGTAGGCTGGTTAGTGCATTTGAACGAAAATAAGGCTTTAGCTTCGGAACCTAAGAAGAAGATGAAGTAAGTGAGTGCGCGCGCATTAAATTGGATAATTAAAAAGCACAGACAACCAGGTATAATTAATCGACAGATTTTTAATGAATATTGTATTACACTTGGTAAGAATGATGCCTTTCTTTCACGATTGGACATCGAAAAATAAGTTCAAAAAATACGTATGTAAATAGAATGAAAAATTAAAAAGATCTTCTTCGAATGGTGAATCGAATAAGATTTTAACGCTCAGTTTAATCCGTTTTCTAATAAGATTGATTCAAAGAATCTGCCGCAAATAAACATGAAAGTTTCAGTCAAGAAAGACGACCATCACCTTCGTCTTGACAATCAAGGCCATCAAACATGATTGAACCTTTTTCTATAGTTGATATGACATCATAATTTTTATTCATACATATCAATGTGTAGGACAATTAAAAATTTTATCCTTATTTGATTAACACTTTCACCATTCAAAAATTTAATAAACAGCATAACTTTATCTACCATTTCTTTTTTTTTTAATTTCACTTTTATGCCTGGATAAAACAAACGTCTCGATTTATGGACAATTAAGTCAATAAAATAATTGTTATAAATAAAAAAATGAATAATTATTGGAGAAATTTAAATTTTTTACTGAATCACACCATGCTTAATAAAAAATATTTTAGTGTATTGTAATTTTAAACTTTTGATACTTTCAATAATTTATCCATCATCTGGGTGGTACCCACCTATTGATCTGGTCACCCCAATACAATTTTGAATAAAATAAATTTAATCAAAATCAACAAATTCCAAGTATCAAATGAAATATTGAATGAGTTCTTGAAATATACAAGTATACAAAAATATTTATTCAATCATCATTTTGAGCAGATTAAGGATGCTTTGTTGCGGAAATAGAAAAGAGCAGGGTACATTATTGAACCGAAAAATGTCAGAAATAATAATAATAATGTTTGACGAACAGGTAAATTCACCGTTTCTGAGTTTCAACTATCAGCATAGTTTTGTATTGTTCGTACACTGGTTTTCAATAGGAATAAAAAAAAGCATCATTTATTTTTTTTTTTTAATAAGAGAAATAATGAGATATCAAAAACGATATATTATCGAATGATAAAATTAAAATTTCTCATAAATGAAAGAAATTGAGAAGAACTAAAAAATAGTTTTCGTCATTTCTTAGTGAAGAGACTTGAAGAGGAATGAGAAAAAGAGAATAGATGTTCAGTAAGTCTTCTTGTCTTCCCGAAAAATGCCGTCTCATCCTGTGACGCATCGCTCATGCGTCGTTAGGACATACCGCGCGAGCTACCACTCTGCGACTTTGTTTCGATCTGTCTCTTTTCTCTTTCTTTACTTGAAAATTTTTTGTCTACGAATCACCCTCTAATCCGTCATGCGTTCCTGTGACCCACGAGAAATACAAACTCTCGCATGTCTTTAAGTCTTTCTCTTTATACTTATTTCTACGTATTCTTTTGTTCTTACCGACGCTAAGAAATTTCTTCAGAAAAGTGCGTTTTTTTTCCTTCAAGATCAATTTTTTAATTGTCATTTAATAAAATAAAGTTTAATCATAAATTTTCCTGAAGTAAAAATTTGCTTTTTTTTCACCATACATAAAAGTATTTAATAGTAAAAAAAAAAAAATTGATTTTTATCCTTGGAATAAATTTTGATTGAAAAAATTTCACTGTATTGTAAATTAACCGAATTAATTACTCGAAAAATTTCGAGAATCATCTTTGATTATACTACTTAATGTAGAAATAAAATTTATAAAAACAAGTTTGACAACGATGAGACAAATATTCTCTTTTTGCGATTTTTTAAATTCAGTTTTTAATGTATATATGTACTTTAGTATATTCTTATACATATATACAACAAAATTAGACATTCGAATAAGCGAGAATTCTAGGATGAATAATCGTGGTTGTTTGAGTAACCGAAAGATGAGAATAGGGAGAGATCAATAAGCGGATTTATGCCTGTAAGATTGTAGTAAAGATTTTATTCGGAGGTCTTTCTATCTCATTTAGATGATTATTCAATTCGAAGAAACCATCACATAAACCCGGACCTTAATTCATAAATGAATATTGTTATTTATAATAGTGAATAATATGATAAAATTAATGATGAGACGAAAGTAAATACATATATACAGATGGTATACATCATTTATATATTTGATAGAAAATAAGTATAAGTACGAAATGTTCATGGTACAAAGCCATGAGATAAGAAAAAGAATTTATCATGCATGGACGAAAGAGGATCGTATCGAAGAGCTAAGTAAAAACATCCAAACTGCAGTTGGATCATGAGGTACGTCCCACGAGAAAAGAGAGATCAAACAATGTAGAAGAGAGAAGAAGAAAATAAACTTACGAGATCAAGTTTTTCTCATGCTTTCGCAGAACTCCTTAGTGTATATATATATACACATTTGCAATACTCGCAATCTAACCTAACTTCCTGGCACGCGGTTTGTTTGTGTCGTTCATTCCTCTACTACTACTTTTTAATGGTCAATTGACCGTCATAGATCTTTTGTTCTAATTTTTTATTCATTATAAATTAAAAAAAAAAAAGAAATGATTAATAATGAATAGAAATTTGCATATATTGTCAATATTAAATTGTCTTGTTAAATGTAAGTAGATAAAATTTTTTTGGTTATGAATAAATTAATTTTTTTATTTAAATAATATAAGTATAGTTTATATTGGTTGTAAATGTAATTGAGATGAGTTATTTATATTTATGATAACATAAATAATTTTTTTTGCAAAGGTTTAACAAAAAATAGTATACCAGTTTTATGAGTACAACAATTGGGCCACCTCAAACTATGTCTTTACTACTTACCAGTAGTTTAAACTGGTCTACTTTTCCTTTCTAGGCGTGAAACGTACGATTATCAAGAGTCTCGTAAATAAGAAAACAATATAGACAAAAAAAAAGAGGTGAAATCGATTAGACTGATGTGGCTCACACCTTAAGGCGTGGTCAATATCATCAGAGCAAAATAAAATAAAGGAAAATAATTCAAATTTAATCATTATTCTGACGTTTTTCGACATATTTACATTAGAAAATATTATATACATGCGAATTTTTAATAGTTTAATAATTTTATAAATAAATAAATAATATTTAATTTTATTTAAATGATTATTTTACCTTGGTAGAAGAAGTGTTGGGTTCATCGTCACCAATGATCACAGCATAGATCTCGACCTCATACCAATCAACGCCTATTTCTCTGTCGAGCAACCTAGATGTTTGTAAAAGTCCACTTTTCATGTCAATGTCAAACAATCTGTCTACTTGAGCACCACCACGATTTGCAGTCACATTTGTCACATAGTATTCTAGACTAACATCAGATCTACGAGTTCGTGCACTTATTTTTAAAACACTCGTACCTATAGGTTCATTTTCGTAAACCGAGCCTTCTAAAAGACCATCATGATCCCAAATAATTTGATCACTATTATCATCACCTGGGATAATTAATGTTAAGTAAGTCTCAGATGAACGTCTTTCTGCTTGTACAGCTTCATCAGTAGCTCGAATACCTATTTGATATCTAAATGATTTATCTAAGTGTTCAATGAATTTTGGTAATTTCATAGTAAGTACACCAGTACTTCGATGAATTTTAAACATATCTAAATAATTATATTCAGATCTCATCAGTTCATATGTAACTAATCCATTAGTACCTGAATCTAAATCATGTGCTAAAACACGTGCAACTGGCATTTCTTTGGCAACATTAGCACTTAATGTTAATTTAGAAGGTAATACAACTGCCAACATGCTAATAAAAACTGGTGCATTATCATTAAGATCTTCAACAATAACAATAACTAACTTTTCAGCAGATAAACGAGGTGATGGTGGTTTAGCACAATCAGTGGCTACAACAACTAATTTAAATGTATCAACTTCTTCTCTATCAATTGGTAATAGTGTATGAATAACACCAGTAAGTGGATTAATTCCAAAATATCTTTTTTGATCATCAGGATCTTGACTCATTATTTCATATGTCACTGCACCATTGTCACCAGAGTCTGGGTCTTCAGCTGTCACTGAGTGTACTGGTGTTCTTACAGTTATTCCTTCTCGTATTTGTCGAACAATTGCTGTATTTGGAAATATTGGTGGATTGTCATTATCATCAATTATATCAACTCTTAATGATGTTGTAGAACTCATTTTTGGATGACCTGCATCAGTGCAACTAATATTTAATGTATAACTCTTGTGTTCTTCATAATCTAAAGGTTTTTTCAAATATAAAATACCAGTTGAAGGATCAATATAAAAAGTATCACGACGATTTCCATATGAAATAGCAAATGTTAATTCACTATTAGAATTAAGGTCATTATCAGTTGCTTTAAATTGTAATAATTTCGAATTAATTGGAGTTGTTTCAATAATAGAAATTTGAGACTTATTATCAATAAATGTTGGAGCATTATCATTTTCGTCTAAAATATCAATATTAACAGTTGCACTAGATGAAAGACGAACTTGTAATCCAGCATCATGTGCTACAACGATTAACACGTAATTATCACATGTTTCACGATCTAATTCTTTAGCTAATGATATTTGCCCTGTAGCTTCATCAATTATAAATTTACCATTTTGATTACCATCTTCTAAAGAATAAAAAACATCACCATTAAGCCCTTCATCAGCATCTGTAGTATAAACTCGAAGTAATTGAGTACCAATAGCTGCACTTTCACTAACTTGAATTCGATATGGTAAACGTTGAAATAGTGGTGCGTTATCATTAATATCCGTTATATAAATTGAAACCTTGACCTTATCTTGAAGACGATTAATACCATTATCCATTACTATTGCTTCTAAATTCACGTAATTGACTCCAGTATTAGCTACTAATTCTTCACGATCATAAACACTAAGTGATTTAATAAATCCATTTCTTGGATCCACATATAAATCTTGCTGATTCATAAGTAGAGAAAAAGTTAAATCTGCATTTCTACCAACATCTTTGTCTATTGCCAATAATTTACCAACAAATGTTTCAGGTGGTTCATTTTCTCTCATATGAAAAATAAATGATGAATTAGTAAATTGTGGTGCATTATCATTTTCATCGATAATATGAACAATCACTACTACAACGGAACTTCGTCGTGGTTTACCTTGATCACTGGCTGTCACTTCGAGAGCATAATAATCTTGTTGTTCACGATCAAGAACATGTTTAACATAAAGTTGACCATCGGGAAAAATTCCAAAACGATCTTCATCATTACCATCACTTACACTATATAAAATCTGTCCATTAATACCAAGATCTGCATCCGTTGCTTTGAGAGAAAAAAATCTGTCATTAACAGCCGTTGATTCTGGTAAAGATGTCTCATAAGTGGTTAGTTTAAATACCGGAGTATGATTATTAACGTCTTCAATAGTGATTCGTATTTGATGTTGTGCTGAAAGTGGTTGTAATCCGTTATCAACAGCAGTAACTTCAATACTTAAAACAGTTCCAGGTGGTACTTGAATTGGTTTAGCAAGATAAATAATACCAGAATTTTCAGTAATACGAAATTGTTTACCAGGATTATGAGTTAAAGTATAAGAAATTCGAGCATTAGCACCAATGTCACGATCTCTAGCTCTCGCTAAATAAACTTCTTGTCCAACTGCAACATTTTCCTTAAGATTAATTTCATCCGTTTTGTCACCTTTAGGAAATTTTGGCTCATTATCATTAACATCAAGAATTGTTATATTAACATAAGCTATTCCTCGTGCTAATCCAGCTTTTGCCATTATTTCTAAAGTATAGTGAGTTTTCTCTTCACGATCCAAACATTTAGCTGTACTTATAATTCCTGTATGCTCATTAATAATAAAATTACCTTTAGGATCACCAAAAATAATTGAATAAATTATTTGACTTTTAGGAAATTGTGTTACAGAAACTGATCCAACTTCTCGATTAAAATTAACTGTTACCTCAGAACAATCACCATAATCTTCTAAAATTTTAAACTCATAACCATTGTATGTATCAAAATCGAGATGTTCTACATCTTCACTCTTCATTATTTCAACAATTGCATTCTCAACTGCTTCCTTATCACCCATATCTTTAGCTGTAATAATTAATTTATATAATGTTTTTTGAGTAAATCTTAATGAATTTTGAAGATATATATCTCCATTTCGTTCGTCTACTTTGAAGAATCCTTCACCACCCGACTCCAATGAATATTTTATTCGAGAATTTTCAGAAGCATCAGCATCAGTTGCTTTTACATTGCCAATTGATGTATTTACAAGGGTATCTTCTGGAATAGATATAAAATATTTTGTTGGATAAAATACTGGAGCATTATCATTGACATCATCTAATGAAACAAGTACTGTTGCTGTTGATGATTGTGGTGGTGTTCCTTGATCTTTAGCAATAATTAATATTCTATATTCTGCTATTGTTTCACGATCTAACGCTATTTTTGTTGTTAATTGTCCAGTTAATACATCTAATTCAAACGACTTAGAATAATCTCTTAATACACTTGAATGTAAACTGTAAGCAACAGATCCATTAGTACCTTGATCATTATCAATAGCAGTTAATGTTGCTATGAGACTATGTGGTGGTATGTTTTCAGATAGAGTTATTTCAATAACATTTTGAGCAAATTTAGGTGCTTCATCATTTTCATCAAGTACTGTTACTCGTAAATGTGTTGATGCAAAACGAGGATTAGGACCACCATCACGTGCGGTTACACGTAACTCAACACTGCCTTGAATTTCTCGATCTAATTGTGCTATTGTTGTCACTAATCCAGTATCTGAATCAATGGCAAACCATGATTGTTCATTACCAGAATCAAAATCATAATAAATACGTGAATTTAATCCAGAATCAGCATCAGTAGCGGAAATACTTGCAACAAAACTACCAATAGGTGCTAATTCCGAGATAATTGATGAATATTCACTTTGTTTAAAAACTGGATCGTGATCATTGACATCATTCACATGAATCACTAAATATGCAGTAGCTGATCTTGGTGGAGTTCCTTTATCTGTTGCAACAATTGTTAAATTATATGTTGGAATTTCTTCTCGATCTAGTCGTCCATTAACTCGAACTATTTCAAAATTTTGTGTATTATAAAGTTTAAAATGCTCCAATTCATTTCCACCTCTGATTTCAACTGTTGTTTCACCATTTAAACCTTCATCATTATCAATAACTAATACTGCTGCTACTAGAGAATCTTTAGCTGCATTTTCATCAACTGTAGCAAAGCCTACTGTTGCAGGAAAATAATTAAATTTTATTTCTGGATCATGATCATTAGCATCCAGAAGATTAACAGTAACATAAGTTCTGCCGTCTTGACGTGGTGATCCATGATCCTTAGCAAAAACTGTAATAACGCAAGATTTTGGACAACTTCCACCTGGTTTAATATTTGTGCAACTTTGTTGTGGGCAATCTAATAATTCTGCTGTTTCTATTGTACCAGTTTCTGGATCAATGATGAATTGTGTTTCAGTGTCTGGCAGATAATATGTCAACTTGGCATTATCGTCGGAATCCTTATCATAAGCCTTAACTGTAAGCACTTTAGTTCCCACAGGTACACTTTCATTTAATGCAATAACATAATCACTTTGCTGAAAAATTGGTGGATTATCATTAACATCTAATACCGTAACATTGACAGCAAGATATCCAAGTCTTGGTGGTTTTCCTCGGTCTCTTGCACACACATTTAAAAAATAAAATTCTACTTGTTCTCTATCCAGCTTTCCAGTTGTTTCCAAATAAAGATATGAACTTTCTCCAGGAGGATTCCATGTTACATCTAATCGGAATTTACCCTCAATATTACCGTCAACGATAAAATAATCATCTGCAACACCATTCTCAGGTGTATCCTTGTCTGTTGCAGTATCTAACAGTAATTTCGTACCGGCTGCTGCAGATTCAGAAAATGAGACTGCAATACTAGATTCGGGGAATTCAGGATCATTGTCATTGACATCTAATACATGAATTCGTACTTCAATTGGATGAGTTGGTTGACTTGACAATACAACCAAGTCAAATTTATCACTTGGTAATGATTCTCTGTCTAATATTTTAGCAGTCTTTATTTGTCCACTATCTGGATCTAATGTAAACTCTTGAGGTGGTTCATTAAACCGATAAGTGAAATTTTGCTGTACCGGTATTATTCCTACTAGTGTACCTTCTGGTTCTCCTTCTCTAATACTGAGCTGTACTCTTGTATCCACTGCTCTACTTTGCATCGCCAAATCCATGTTTCCATCCTGAGGCAACATTGGAGATCGTCTTGGCACCAATCTAGTTACTTTTGTTGTTGTTCCATAAGTACGACGGACTGATGAAACCAGTCCAAAAATTAAGACAATAATCATCAATCTCCACATTGCTTTACGTTCACGTTTGTAATCTTCCTCTTCTTCTTCTTCTCCTTTCTCTTATCTCTTTTTTTCTAATTGTAACTTACAACTACCTGTCACACTTTTTCGTCATCATTAAACGAACTTTCATCATGACAATTTTTAATAATTTATCACTCGATCTTGACAATTATCATTTTTTACATCTGACAATTATTCATTTTGATTTAAAATTTATCATGAAATGCACATGTTTTTAAATTGATGTGAAATCAATAATTCTTGGTTACTTTTTACAACATTAAAGATACACTAAAAACTTGATAATAATTAGAAATCATCTTCTTCTTTCTTGTAAATAAACACCAGTATAAAATTGGCAAAAAAACAAAATTTGTTCACTAAAAACACATATCATCTTTCACTTGTTTATGTTGTTTAGACAAACATTTTTTCATCTTTTGTCCATTATAATTAATTATTGTCAGTTAATAAGAATAAATTATTAATAAATTTCCAACTGTTATACACATTATCACTCACACTTATATTGTTTGTATTTTATTAATAACAATAAAAAAATAATCAGTTATGATAACTAACCTTACTTTATGTATAATTTTTATTATTGAATATGGTATATAATAAACATAATTGAATAAACGAATAGTAGATAAATTGACAATTATGAATAGATAAAAGCTCGTGAAAAATATAAAAAAGGTTATTCGTAACAGCAGAGTCACGTATTACCGCGGACTGACTCAGCACGACTGAAGTAGTGGGACCGTACGAGGGCCCAACTAAGCCGATTCTACAGACGAATGTAAGACTGTACACGACAAAGTAGAAAGAAAGAGAAAAACATTCTTCAGAGCTAGCTGAAGTCGTCCTTCTCCAATCCATCGGGTCCAACTACCATCTTTTTTGCTCATTCTTTCATCTCTTGTCTTTCTTCCACATTTTGGTATCAATAGGGGGGCCCATAACCGCTCGTCCGTCGCATCCCGCGGGGTCTCGCCAAGATATTCTACCTTTTGCCCTCAAGAAACGAGCAATGCGGAGGCTCAGGTATGCAAGATGGCCGTCGACTTCTTCGGGGCCTTAACCAACCGGTCGTGAAACAGAGAGAGAGGATAACATGACTGATCGAGACAGACGAACGAGAGATGAATAATGCGTCGTGATGATCAAGGTGGGGAACCAAAGGCAGCTCAAGAAAGACAGAGAATAGAAGGGGCAACTTTTAAGTGAAGAAGTGAACGACGAGATGCTGAAGAGGAGGTGTCTCCAGTGGATTGAAGTCGTGGATTTACATCAAGACTCGGTGTAAAACTCAACCAGGTCTCTTGGCCACTTTTATAACTAATACATTATCATTATCATTATCATCATCATCGTAATCATCATTGAATATTCCTCTTATTATTTTATCTATCATGTTTTTTATTTATTTTTTTTTTTTATGCATTATTGTTTATTAGTTAATTTTTATTTTGATTGAATTTTGACATTATTCAACATGATTTAACCGATGTATGTCTCTTGTAACTATAGATCAACATTCAAAACAACGCTGTTGGAAGTCTAGTATATTTTTCTTACATCATTTTTTACCGTCATATTTATGGACTCATTCTACAGAAAATATTTTTTCAGAAAAATCATTTTTACCAGTAACTAATAACGATCAATTTATAATCATGCATAATTTTGTTTTTTTTTACTTTTAAATAAACTATTTTTTATTCTTTTATTTAATAGAATAAAAAAAAACAAAGATTTTAAATTGTTGAAAAAGGGTTAATAGAAAAATGTAATAATAATGTCAGAACGGACGTAGGTTATGTAACGTTAATATACATCATCACTGTCGTAGTAATTATATATTAACAATATTATATTTATTATAATTATAAAATTATTTGATACAATCAACAAGATAAATAATGATAAATTATATAGATCATGTATACAGTCAATTAAGGTCCTGTTGTTTTATAATTGATGTAAGAGTAGTTGAAAATCAGTATATTTATTGTTGTTACACACGCGATAATTCAATATACTCAAAAGCTCGATATTTAAGAATAAATTATCGTTAATTAAGAATTGAATTAATAGCCATACCATGAAGGAATAAAAACGACACTGGTGGTTGTGCAAAATTGAACTAAATATTTATGACAAGTAATATAAATGATAAAAAATTTTAACTGTTAACTTATCATAGATTTATTAGCAAGTTTTAACGATCGATCATCTATCATATTGATCGGACAGAATTCTCACGTAAATGTCTTGTCTTTTGCCATCTTATCCCAGACACTTGTATCGAGGCGAGAATCCAGTACGTGAGTAGATCAACTCGGAAAATACAACACAAAAAACTTGATCATTGGTTCGGAAGAGGTTTGAGTTGCTTATTTTCTGTCTTCTTAAGGAAATGAATTGCAATCGAGTAAAGTCAATAGATCGACGTTTTGATTTATGATTACAAATTGTCGAAAGTTTTATACAAATCTTTTTCTATCCTTTTTTTTCCCTCTTTCAACTCTCACCCTTTATTTGTATCGTTGAATGAAACGAAAAAAAAATACCTATTGTTTTTTTTTTCACTCAAAAAATATTAATTATAATGATAAAAAATATTTTCAAAAATCATAACTGATAGTAGTTAATTTTTATAAAAATTTATTATTCATAAATAATTGATTTTTATCAATGTCCAATTGAGATTAATAAAGTTTTAAACAAACATGATTATCTATCGTTATTTAAATGAAAGAAATATTGATAGTTAATCCATGACAACTTCTCAATTTACTTGTAAATTAATAACTATACAATAATTACTAAGTTTAGAAGAGAAGTCTTTTATAAATGACAATATATGTTGTAAAAATTATGATCGTGTTGGATATACATATATACATATCTCAGAATATTTTTGTACGATCGAGAGAGATGCCAAGTATCCAGAGATTGGAATGCAGAGATTATACTCAGTGTGAGTGGCAATGAAAAAAAATGTCCAAATAAACAGATAAAATAAAATAATAAATTAGTATAAATTTTATAAAAGTTTATTTGGAAAAACAAATAATACATCATATTACATACATTTATACTTATTTCTAGCAATCAATTTTATCAATTTAAAAAAAAATTTTCTAAAATAATTTGAGTTGATTTAATAGATACAATTGTCAAATGAATTTAAAAGCTCATAAAAAATTATTAAAATAAAAATATTTAATGTTACTTAGATAGATACTAATGTGATTTTGAAATAAAATAAAAATAATTTTATTTTATTTTTTATCATGTTTTTATAATAATTTTTTTTTCATTTTTTAAACCCTATACAGATTCATAAGAAAATAACGAAGCGCAAAGAAAATAGAAAAAAGATAACAAAAGAGAGAAAGGAGACCATCTACTGATCGCTAAAATCGTGTACCCAATCAGCCAGCCTTTTGTATTTCCAAGAATCTCTGGAGTCTCGTGCATGCGTGTGGAACAGGACTTTTCGTTCCATAGGGGATCACCCTTTTGCTCTATTCCCGTTCTCGCCACAGCTATTCTTTCCAATTGGATATGCTATACCGATATGAACTGCAAAAATTCTAAATGGAGAAAACCAGTCCTATGATCCTCATCGACATCCGACAGTTGTCGAAATTTTTTTTTTTTTTTATTTTATTTAACATAATATTTCATCTTTTCTATTCTCAAATATATTCACTAAAAAAATTCTACTATTGTTAATATTAAAAATGAATCATAATTAAATAATAACTCAAACTTTATTCTTTCATATCTTCAAAATTATTTAATAGTATTTAAATTTTTTTAAGTGATATTGTTTCATCTAATAATAGAGAATTTTTTTATTCCTGATACATATCTAGCATAGAGCGATTATTATTGCCAGAAAAAGTATTGAAAATACTTAATCGTCTGCTGTTGGAAATGTGATGTCCCCTCAGGTCAAATAGTATATTTCACACCTAGGGAGGAAAAGTAGACTAGCTTAAACCACGTGTAAAATTACAACCCGAGCCGAAGGCGAGGGGGGTAAACACGTGGTTTAAGCTTGTCTAATTGTCCTCCTTAGGGCTGAATATAATTTTTCGTCATACCTGAGTGGAAAGTTCAACCCCTCTCCAATGGAAAAGTGAACTTTCCGCGCAGGCATGACGAAAAAATAATATTCTGTCTGGAAGATAGGCCTCTCTCTTCATTTTATCTTTTCAATACAATTTTATATACCTTATATTTTTATTAAATATTTATAATAACAATCGCCATCATTCACATAATTCCTAATTACTATTTCAATATATAATAAATACATTATAAAAATAAGAAAATTATTAAAAATGTTAGTAATTAGAATTTTTAATGTATTAATTCTAGTATGTACAATATAATTATTATTACTTATGTTTTTGGAGCACCATAAGCATCAGGCATTCTTTCAATAGTATATCTATGTTGAGCAACATACATAATCGGTACTCCTGGAATTTTACGGATCCTTCGTTTTAGATCTTTATCGTTAGTTGCAACTATATAACATTTATGTTGGGTCACTCGATTTACAAGACAATCATCAGCGTAAGTACCACGATGTACACAATTTAATCTTTCAAATCTTGGATCTTTAATTATTCTTAAAGCTATCTTATATTTTGGACCAAGTTTCTCTAATTCACCCATTACACAGTCTGTTATGTAGGGTATACATTTCGCGTACAGACATTCCATCATATTTTGGATTATATCGAGTTTATTTTTTATTGAAAAGTTGATGAAATTGGTATCAATTAATATATGATATGGAGGTCCTAACTGTGTATTATATTGAAAAAACAGTGCAGATGATTGTTGTGGCCTATAGTAAATAAAATATTATTATCATATTTTATAAATTAAAATCTACTTTGAATATTTTTTATTTACTTACACTTCTTTAACTTTTAACTCTGTTGGATCCTCTTTTTTTGGTTTTTTTGTCATTCGTTTATCTTCCTTTCTGAAATAAAATATAATATTTATTTTTTTTATTCATACTTTCTTATATTTTTCAAAATTTGTTTTTTAAATGAAAACTTACATTCTTTGATCAGTAAGACTAATCATTTTTTTCATTTGTGCAAATCGTTGAGTTACTACTCGACGTGTTTTTTTATTTTTACCCTAAAAAATAAATTATTCGATGTAAGTTGAATGTAAAAGATAAAACAATAACCAACAAAATTATTATCTAGTACAAAATTATATAAAATTTTTCTTCAATAAAAATTATGATCTATAATTATCACTAAATAATAATAGACTTAATTAATAAGCCTGTAATTTATTTACCATCTCTAATTATTATAAATCAATTAATAAATCAACGAGAAAATAACACACTCTCATATCAACACAACACGTGTATTTCAATTTGTTCCTGAAAGTTGGTAGCACTGTAAGCATAGACTAAAAGAATTCAAGATGGCAGACCTACGAGATGAACGCAATTCAATGTGTACAAATTATACATGAGTATTTTAAATATTTTGACATGTTTTTCAAAAATATAATATTGAATAGATATTAATAGAATAATAAAAAATAGAATTGTTTTATGTAACGATATGAACAATGAAAAATAAAAGAATAAAAACTGATCTTGAATGATTTTTTTTTTCGATAAGAGTGCCATCTTACACACATTCAAACTAAATATTTACATTGTAAAAAAAAACTAATTGTAAAATCATCTGTTTATAAGTGTATGGTTTGGTAAGCGTTATAATCGTTGTAATCTAAGATTGTTGTGTTTACGTGTTCATGATACAATTAAAAAAGTGAAATATTTAATAACATTACGAATTACGGTTATTTTATTGTTGATATATTACTTTCAAAAAAAATCATAAAAAATGTTGAATCATATTTAAATTAATATGCTTCAAAACAATACGCATCAGGCTAAAATTCTCTTTCAGAAACACTGGGAATTTTAGAAAGTTTTTTTCTTGAAATACATTTGATATTTTATAAAATCCTGTTTATTTGTTGTTGACAACACAATTTGGGAATAGAAATGAAATAATATACCGTTATAAATAGGAAAAAAGATTTTAAAAATTTTTACTTCCGAACAATAAAGTTATGGAATATAATAGTATGTTATGTACATCATATCTTAATAATAATAATTATTATTAGTTAAAACTATTGTCATCGTTATCATCATCATTGCTATTATTACATTACCATTAATATTAATTTAATTTTCATTCTTTCGTAAAATAAATCAAAACTATATATACATATATATGTAATGCTATTCAATTATTTTATTTTTGTAAATATATTGATTTTAGATATTGCAGGTGAGCAATTAGCACAAGTTGAACCTGATAGAGTGCCAACAATTGGAAACGAAGTGGAAATCGACTTAGTAGTACCATGGCCTCAACCAGCTGCTCCTATAAACGAAGAAGTTGAGGAATTAGTTGAAGCAAGTTGGAATGCAGTAAGCGATGCAGTTAATGATGCTGTGAACGATGCAGAGAGAGTACTAAGAAGAGTTGATAATTACGAGGTTGGTCAAGAGTGGGAAGGACAAAGAATGAATTCAGAAGGTGACATTGCCCCACCTTTAAATTGGAATATAAGAGAGGAGAATAACATTGTTAATAATGTACCAGAAAATATTGAACAAAATGTTGAGGTTAGAGATATTAATGAAGATCAAATACCTGTTGTGATTGTTAATGATGATTCTACAGATTTTAATGAACATGTTGATGACCCTGATCAAGAAGAAATTGAAATGGCTAAGAAAAAATTGAAACTGGATATAAAGAGTGAAGAGAAACAAGTCGATGATGAAGAAGAAGATCCAGATCTCGGTAGATTGTGCCCTATATGTATGGACTATTGGAATAATTCTGGTGAACATCGACTTTGTTCACTTCGATGTGGTCATTTATTTGGTCACAGTTGTGTCCTTAGATGGTTACAAAACTGTACTAGTAGTAATAGACGATGCCCGCAATGCAATAAAAAAGCAGCAGTTAAAGATATACGAGTTATATATGCTACGAATATTCAAGTTGTCGATACTGTAGAATTGGAAATGTTAAAAAAACAAATATTAGAAGTAACCGCTGAAAAAAATAGAATTGAAATGGAATTATCAAAAAGTCAATTACGACAAAGGATGCTTGAAGATCAAATAACAAATTTGTCAAAAACAATTCATGATTTAGAAAGACAAAAAACTGATATGACTGTAAAAATAAATGAATCTATACGTTCAGTGGTAAGAAAGTTCCATTTAGACCATACGTTAGATATTTGTAAAGAAGGTGGATGTAGAGTTCTTGATTATAATAAATGGTCTGGACACCTTGCAGTATCTCAAAAATCTGCAAATAATTTATTTCCTGGTTATGGAGTTAAAAAAATAAGCACAGATATATTTCAACCTATGCAGTTTGTTTTATTACATAATCAAGCTATTAGAGATATTGCTTTTCATCCGGTTCAACAATCATTATTACTTACAGTCAGTTTTGATAAAACTGCCAAACTTATGGACATTCAAAACAATGTTGTCGTTCATGGATATCCTGTCGATGGTCAAATATGGAGTTGTTGTTGGTCAGGTGATAATTCAAATATTTTTCATGCTGGAACACAAAATGGATCAATAGTTCAATTTGATATTAGACAAACTTCTGGAGCTGTTGATACCATTGAAAGTCCTGGAGATAGATCACCAGTGGTATCATTGGCATCAGTTCCATCAAATTCATCAGCAGGAATTATTAGAGGAGGTTTCCTTGCTACACATTTAAATACTTGTTATGCTTATGAACAAAGCAATTCAACGTATACAGCAAAACAAATGTTCCTTGAAGGACCATTTATATCAATCAGGTATGATGAAAAAAATCATCATGCTTTAGTATCATCAAGACCTAATAACAGACAACCACAAGCACGTCATGTTGTCTTATCTGTTGAGAAAGGTAACGGGGATGCTGTTCTTTGCAATATTGTTCACACTTTTGCTGCTGGAAATTCACAAAAATTATTATCCCGCCCTTGTTATGTTCATGTTGATGATGACACATTAATTGCTGCTCATCAAGAATCAACGAAAACAATTCCTATATGGAGTATTGCTGCTGGAAAACAAATTTTTAGCCTTACAGCTTCTGATCCTGTTCTCAATATGGTTTCATTTTCTAACAATAGCAATGTTTTTTTGGCAACTTTATCTGCAAAAAAACTGCGAATTTACAATTATCAACACATCTCTTAAAATTCATGATCAATACAATGTAACAATAACGTTTGAATTCGTTTCAATAAGTGAACTTCATTGTACAAAGATGTGATCATAACTTGGAACTGATGTACAAAATATAATTTCTAAAAGAATGAAATTTTTTTTTAAATTGACAATATTTAAAATCACAACTGGTATCTCAGTCAAAAATTGATAAACATAATAGATCAATTGTTATATCAAAGTTAACATATTGATTTTTTATACACATGTAGGTATATAACTATAAATATAATACTGTTTAAAAAAATGTAGTATTTAAAACATAAATTTTATAAAATAAAAACTAAAATGCATGAATTTCTTCCATTAATTTTTGAGATTAACAGTAAAACTAATTAATGAGAAGAATTTTTTATAGATTTACAAAGATTATTTATTTAAATGTGTTTTAATAATTAGTTTACAAGAAATAAAACATGATACGATTTTATGAATAATTTATAGATTTCAAGTTTTTTCATCACTATTATTATTGTTTAATAATGAAATTTATTATTTATGGTTTTATTTTAATTATAAATATGTTAATCAAATTGTCTTTTTTGCTTTTATCGAAATTACGAACAAAAAAATGCTTATATTGATAAAATTTAACATTATAACTATTGCTCAATTTTCTAATTTTACAAAAAGACTTTAACCTGAAAATCTGGAATGTTACAATTTACCGTATTTTTAATTATATCATTCATTTATTTGTTACAATATAATTTTAACATAATTTTTATCAATATTATTCAACAATTAATGATAGGGTTTTCTTTACAATTTAAATATCTAAGACTACAAAAAATTCTATTATTCAATTGGTAATATTATTATGATACACTTCAAAATCTTCAAAATTAATGAATTTTCGTATAAATGATCGGAAAAAAATTAATTTAAAATATTCAATGCAAAATTTTTCAAAACTTGTTCTTTTTTTTTAGAATTTTATAGCTATAATACATCATAAAAATTATCATCATTATGTTAACTGATGTATGATAATGATACTCGAAAGTGATTGAAATATTTAATTATGACCAATAATTATAATAATTACTAACTGAAAATTTGTTCTGTAGCACGCTCTAAATCCCAGTTATATGAAGAAAGTGCTACTCTGGCGCTGTGTTCATCAACTCCCATATCTGTAAGCCGTCTAATTTTATCATTTAATTCGGGCATTTTAGCAGGACCTAAACATTAACAATAATCAATTTATCATAATATAAAATGACAATAATAAAAATTATAATGATAAAACTACATACCACCAGCATAAACAGATGTCCAATGTTTTGCTGTTTGACGAAACATTTCCGGGTGTTCTTTATATTGTTTAGCTACCACAGCATCCTGTGGATCATCAGGTTCTGCAGCTGATAGTAAAGCTTGGAGGGAAAGTAAAACAGTGCGTAAAGTCATGGCTGCTGCCCTTGTTTATAAAAATCAAATAAATAACATTAAATATTAATATTTTTATAAACATTACATACTCAATAATAGTTATTAAATTTAATTATTTCATTAATAAAACATACCACTGGTCTTTTAAAATATCTAAACATATTGCTCCAGTAACTGAAGAAATATTCGGATGCCAAATTTTCGTTATAAATCGTACCTACAATGTCATTACTTTATTATTATGTTCAAATTTGAATCCAAATTCTAAATATAATTTATACTTTTAGAATATATTTATTAACTGATTATAAGTCACCTTGGGTGGATTAAATGGATAAGTTTCCGGGACTTTTATTTCTAGCACAAAATTTCCACCTTCGTAGGGGGTATCTGGTGGTCCAGCAATTTCTCCCTTGAGTTCAGTGAAACTGTCATTTACTAATTCAACTCTAATAGCACAACGTGCAACCTGTAATAAATAATATATTATTAATATTCATGTGATTTAATTTTAATTCTTATAAAGAGATTATTATATATTGAGAAAAGCTGTTTTAAATATTAGACAGTCACGTGTTAAATATAATGTAATTAGTAGAGGGATCAAAATTTATATTGTATTTAAAGCACCATAATTATAATTAACTTAATCTAATCGTAATTAAAATAACCTTTGACATAAATGAATGATAACAAAATGGTGAAACGAACGACTTTAAGATAATCCAATTTATTAATATATCATAGTAAGTGTCATTCTTTTGAGGCTAGTCTGTCAGTTACAAAAAAAAGTATGGAAGTTTGTTCTTTTACTAAGTGATTATCATTGAATGCTATAATAATTATGGATAACGAGAAAAATGAAGAGTGTAATAAAAGTGATTCTGAATCACGAAATGGTAATTTATTGTTGATATTATTTGTTTTCTTCATAGTGCATTCAATTAACTTATCCAGACATTTTGAAATAATCTGAATGGTATCATGAATAAAAAATAAGATTTTTACAGTTGTTATTATTGGGTGATAGTAAATTTCTGATAAAGAAAGATTGACCATAATAATATTAATAAATAATTTATAAAAATTTTTTGTTTATATTTTTAATGAACTGCCATTAACAGCACAAATGAAACATGGATATTAATATAATAATAATTTTAAAATAATATATTAATAGTTAGTATTACATATAATTCATTCTATTGATATAAACGACATAATTATTTGAGTATTTTTGCAAATACTTGACAAAATGCAACTTACTTCTTCGCTTTTTATAACCTCTTTGAATTCACGTTTGATTCGTTGTGCTGCGATATTAGCTGCCATTATTTTTGTAAAAAATCTTTTCTTTTAGCTAATATACTTTAAGATTAGTTAATTATTCACCACTATCATTATTTTATAATTGACACAATAATGCTTTTATCAAGCGACACAAAATTCACTCAAAATTGTAAACGTTCTTAATTTAAAATCAAAATCTACGACTGTATTATCAATTTAGATATTGCTGATTGAGCATGGATCTTATATAAATAATCAAAAAAAGAGTATTATAACTTGTTCTAAATATTACGTTATTCTTAAAAATAATCTCTATATACAATTCACAGTTACTATTGATATAACTTTAATATTAAATATATATTTACTTCAAAAGATTATTGTTAATATTTATCATATGAGTTTCTTTTACAATATCACCGGCGCCACATTTGATGATACAAAAGAATAGTTGACTACCGCACACGCGAAAAATTATGCACTTTTTGCGCCATAAAGTATACAGTAAATAGAGTTCGGAATTAAATAAGTAAAATATTATTGAAAAAAGATAAATATTTTTGAAGTAGATAAAAATAATATTAATAATATTAAAATTTATTTCAACTACAAACAGTATTTTTCCCGCAATTAACCTCAAAATTTCCGTATTTCTCTGAGGACTAATTACATACATGAATTAATTTATGCAAAACAATTTTAGGTAATCTTAAAAAATTAGTTTTTATCATAAATATATCTATTAAGTTATTTTCCATCAATATTACCAAAAAAAAATCTGTCTAACGGATTGTTTATACAGATTGTAATAATATGTAAACTAGACAAATGTAATTATTAGATATCATTATAATTGACGCTTAATCTTATTTTTAAAGTATTTACTGTCATAATCAAAAGATAAATGAAAAAAATATAAATTTAATGATTGAACTTGAAATTTAACAAGTATATGCTATAATATTAATGATAATAATTTTCTTTTTTTGTAGTCAACATAAAAGACTATTTTTATAAATATTTTTTTAAATAATTTTCTACATAGTAAGATGAATTATAAGTAATATCGCTTTTTAATATTTTTTAACATAAATTTATTTCAATTAGAAATCATTTTAACCTCAATTAAATGAATAGATTTCCCGCGATTTATATTTCCTAGAAAAAAAGATGTATTAAAGCGTCTAAAAACTAAAAAAATATCAAAAAAGACAAAAATCGGTACTATTTCATCATTATAATGTGAAAAATAAATTTGGAGTTGAGTAAGCAGTAATTAAAAATAAAAAAAAATGTCGATAGTGTTATGTTTAATTAATATTTTATTTATATTAAATTTAAAATATAATTGAGATAGAAAACGAAATAAATTGAAAAATATGTTTAAAAATAATATAATATTTATAAATATTGAGTAAATAGGATATTTTTCACTCTAAATTAATCTCTCGTGATGCCGACAGGCGGAGCTAAAATAGTTTTACGTATTTCCGGTTATCTCATGAACAGTTCTGATTGGTCAATATAATATATATTTCATGGCCTTTTGGTTTTGCAGTGATGCCTGTGTCGCAGCCAGTGCGTGCTAAGAGTTTGTTACGCGCAAACTTGGAAAAATTACGGTGTGGAGTTTTGCAAAGCAGAATGCCGAACATCAAGGTTTTTAGTGGTACTTCTCATCCGGATCTTGCTCAAAGAATAGTTGACAGACTTGGTATTGACATTGGCAAAGTAGTCACAAAAAAATTCAGCAATTTAGAGACATGGTAATCCACTCAAATTATTTATTTTATTGAGCTTGTTATGAAATCCAATTAAGTTACCGCGTGTATACAGTTAATCGACCCACGTTGTGTCTACTTTTTAACTTCCATTTCAATTTTAATGACCACGTGCTTCTTTTAACTTTATTTATCATTAACTATTGTAACCTTGACGATTATTTATATTTCCGAAAAGTCAACATTTATAAATAATGAAGACACTTGTAATACTTGAATTATCTAACACTAAATGTTATAATAACTCAACTCCACGTAATTATATATTTTTATTTTCTATTAGTTTATTTCATTAAAAAAGAAAATAACATTAATATATTAACATTAACATATTAATTAATTGTCCAATTTTTATTTATTTTATGTAGAAAATTCATAATTTCAATGATAGATAAATAAAAAGTAAAATTGTAGTTTAATCGATAATTTTTCTTCCATTTGTTGTGTCTATTATTAAATAATATTATATTCTATTATTACACAATGTTTTAATAAAGGACAATTGCACGCATTTTATTAAATTAATAATCAAACAATATTTACATTATTTCATTTACTTTCAGCGTGGAAATAGGAGAATCTGTACGAGGAGAAGATGTTTATATTGTTCAAAGTGGAAGTGGAGAAGTTAATGACAATCTAATGGAGTTATTAATCATGATTAATGCATGTAAAATAGCTTCAGCTTCTCGAGTCACAGCTGTGATTCCTTGTTTTCCTTATGCAAGACAAGACAAAAAGGATAAGGTAGGACAATAGATATGTATATAAAGTGGATTTTATTATTATATTATTTAGCTTTTTAAATGTTGAATTATTTATTTTCTTTCATTTATTTGATTTGACTTTATTTTCCAAAAAAAGCTGTTTAAAATTTTTTCTTATTTTTTATTCTCTGGCATTTAGTGATAGATAATTAGTGTGTTATCATTCGATTTATTGATCAATCCATTATATACATATATACACACATACATACATATTATCATCAATTATAAGAATTTTCAGCAATTTTGACTAATATTTTACAAATTTGCATCGAAAAAAAAATTGATATTTAGGAAAAATTGAATGAAATTAAAATTTCAAGTGATGCAAGTCATACGTTAATGATGATTTGAAATGTAATATAATTTTGATTTTTTTTTCTCTTGTACAATAATTTCACAGGGAGGTGATGGTACGGACAAGACAGTTGTCATGAAGTCGAACGAGTGGAAATTCAGGGTAACTCGTTGGCGTAAATTATTTAATATAATTTTTATTTATTTCCATATAGCTTAACATGCATCTATAGTTTATGGGAAATCAACCAAGTCACTACTATTATTATTGTTCTTGACTATTGGGAAAAAATATCACAATTTGACCATATCAATTTTGACATTGATGAACAGTAATGTCATTTATTGCATTTTAATTTTAAAACTGCATTATGATATCAAATTTTTTCAATTCATTTATTATCTAACAAAATAGTATAATCGCTTAAAGAGCTTTCAATTCAGTTGTAGAAAAAAATAATTCTTTTCATTGCAATACAAAATAGTACCATTTTGATATCCATTCATTCATAAAAATATTCTTGCATGTCGAAATACTCTGCATATTTTTTTTTTTTGTTTTTCTAAAATAAAGTTTTTTATTATTTGAAATTTCCCAAGAATTTGCTTGGTTAAAATAGATAGATTACTTCAGTAAATAAATAAATCAAAAATTTCAACACATTAGATTGATGAAATAATTATTGCATCAAAAATTTACAATATAAATATATTTTTTTCACAAACCCCTGTACATCTATGTGCATTATAACCTTCCGGGTTATCATATGATAAGAATATTACGACATGTTATTTTTGTTTATAAAACATCACTAGATTATTTATCAATGAAAATACATAAGAATACTTGGATAATTCAAGCTCAATAATTAGTTCGAAAGATTATTAAATTATTGCTAAATTTTGATGTTTTAAAAAAAGAATTTTTTTTTTTTAAAAAAGAAATAAAATAAAAATTGATATAGATGATAACTGGAAAGAAATATTTGTAATTATTATCGTGAATATTTTCTGAATAGTTGCGTAATTTTCAGGATTTTGTGCCCGATCTATCGACAGTGAGTATACCCATGATAAAAAATAAGAAAGTGACTTTCTATGCGAGAAAATAATCTTAATGATGAGAGCAAATCAAACTAGAGCTTTCCGAGTGAAAAGCGTTTGTAATTATATAACTTGTATATTTGATTAATTATTGAATATTTTGGTTTTGACTACAATTTTAAACCCACTATTTGATTATCAATTATTTATAATCACAGTAGGACTAACAAAAACATACCTTGCTTTTTATTATTTGTTATTTTTAATTTATTTTTTGAACATCATTGAATGAGACAAATATGATCTTACTTACATTTTCTCATTTTTGGAGTTTAATAAAAAAAAAAAAAAAGATATACGAATTTTTCTTAATAATAAATAAATAGGAAAAGATATATTTTACCTCTTTAACCTTTTATTGATGAAAAAAAAGTCACAAAAAGTATCTAATTGGAAAATCAGAGGGCAAAATAATAATACAATTGCGTAATAACAAGTAAATAATTAATTATACTGCTTTAACGATTTATAATCTTATTATAAGACTGTATATATATGAAAATTCATATATATATGGTAATTAATTGTGTTGCTTTTGTGTTTTATGTGTAATTTTGATTTATTATTACTACTATTACTAATTATTTACAACCACAGTGATAAACATAATTTTATTTAAATTAAAAAATTAATTTTTTTTTAATTAAAAAAATCGTGTTTATTAATGATTATTAATAAGTAAAATTAACAACATCTTACGAATTATTAATAATCATTTTATTCATATATTTTTTTTGAAAGTATATATTATTTGTTCATACTTAAGTGTCTAACCAAATTGATGAAAATTGAAAAAACTTTTTCCATCATTATAAGAATAGAAAAATATGTATTTAACCATAAAAATTAACTCAGCTTATAACTGTCATTAAGCTTTAAGTAAAAGTAAATAGGCTCATTTAAACTAAAAGATGTATTAGATAATGACAATTAACAAACACATTTAAAACATTAATTACAAATTTCTTTGTAATATTATGAATGATTGAATAGTAATAATGTTTTACTGATAAAAAAAATGTTTGAAAAAATATAAATGTTTTAAGTGGGTCTTAGAAGTATTGTTTTGTCGTTAACTTTAGTAACACTTGCTTTAATTAAAATAACTGTTAAGTCTAACAAGGGTGCATTTGCAACACGTCTCTTCCTCTTCTGATTTATCTTTATGTTATTTTTTACATAATTCATAAATATCTAATATTATTTGAGATTCACTTGTGTGACGCGATTTTAAAAATTTTTTTACTAGCTATTGTATTTATATTTTGTCCTCTGATGAGGTATCATCAATATAAAAAAATAATAATTTCTAAGTCAATTGATGAAATTTAATTTTTCGAAATAATAAGAAAAAATAATAGACTAAATGAAAATTGGCTCAAGTCAAATTATTATTTTGGAAACTAAATATTTCTTCTTTTAAAATTATTTTAAATAAATTCTACTGTATCTATATATTAATTAATAATAAAGATAAAAAATTACAGGAGTATACCAGTTGCAAATGGACTTATATATGGGACTTGTAAAAATCAATTTAACATCATACATTTGTTAATGTTGTAAAATATATAAAATAATTTGTGTATATATATGTATATATATTTTCAGAGTCGTGCACCAATCTCTGCCAAGCTTGTAGCTAACATGTTATCTGTTGCTGGAGCTGATCATATTATCACAATGGACTTACATGCTAGTCAAATACAGGGATTTTTTGATATTCCTGTTGACAATCTTTTTGCTGAACCAGCAGTTCTTAAATGGATAAAAGAAAACATTGCTGAATGGAGAAATAGTATAATCGTTTCACCCGATGCTGGTGGTGCAAAAAGGTATGTTAAATAATCATTCTTTTAAATCACATATTGAATTTTTTCCAGTAAATAATTTAAAAAAAATTTTTTCAGAGTAACGTCAATTGCCGATCGTCTTAATGTTGAATTTGCTTTAATTCACAAAGAGAGAAAAAAAGCTAATGAAGTAGCAAGCATGGTACTTGTCGGTGACGTAAAAGATCGAGTTGCAATTCTTGTAGATGATATGGCAGATACTTGTGGAACAATTTGTCATGCAGCAGAAAAATTACTAGAAGCTGGTGCTACTAAAGTTTATGCTATTCTAACTCATGGAATTTTTAGTGGACCTGCAATTAGTAGAATTAATAATGCATGCTTTGAAGCTGTTGTTGTTACTAATACTATACCTCAAGATGAACATATGAAAGATTGCCCCAAAATCCAAGTAAGTTTATAAATATAATTATTATTTAATTTATAGTTGATGTATTTAACTAATATAAATCATATTTATAGTGTATCGATGTGTCTATGATGTTTGCTGAAGCTGTTAGAAGAACTCACAATGGTGAATCTGTTTCGTACCTGTTTTCCAACGTACCATACTAATAGTCTAAAAATTATTAACATTATCTCATTATATTACTTTTTTGATATTTTATTCAATAGTGTCATAATATTAAATAAGTAATGACATCGCAATTGACTATTAATAACTTTTTTTTATCAACAGTCATTACTTATGTTTTTTAAAGTATGAATATTATAATTAATATCATGGTGATATCATTGAATAAGCAATAGATGACTCTTTGTGTAAGTGAAGTATTTTTTTTCAAAATAACTGTGTAGTAGACACTTTTAGAGTACATAGTTGATCATTATCATGTACTTGATTCAAGACTCCGACTATTTTTTAAAGTGCATATTTATTTTTTTTTTTTTAAACATTGATTCAACTTAGCAATTTTTGTTTTTTTTTTTATTATCAAATGACGATCTGGTATCGTATTGTTAGTAAGAATCTTACAAAGTAGTATCTTTGTAAAATATTGAAGATGAGGATTTTTTTCTTTTAAAACATTTACAAATTATTCCGTAATTGAATATGTCAAATTAATTGATACTTAATATCGAAAAAATACAATGAATAAAATAGAATTGTACAATGAAATATTTGATTGTAAAAATCTATAAAAAGTACAAATAGATTGTGTCCACATTATTTGAGTTAAGAACAATTACATAATTTTTATAATTAAAAAATTGTAAGAATTAAAAATTTTTTCTTATCGTTACAAATTTTTGTATAATTCAATGAGATATTTTAATTTAATCTACGCCATGTAGTTCCTCTAAAATACATTGTTTTATTAAAATGATAATGCTTTCATAAGTGATATTTGTTTTTCAAACCTTTCCACAATTATTTCCAATTGTTTTAATACTGACATCCGATGTATAAAACATATATTCTTTTTAACTGCTTTTATATTTTAATTACAATTTTTTTTTCTACGTTCTGATCTTACTTATTACTTGATAATATCGAATTATTTACAAACTTAAAAAATGAACAAAAAGTATATACACAAAATGTCGAATTGTTTTTATTATTTATTCATCATTTCCAATTTTTATTTATAAATTAAAAATTTACCATTTAAGTCAACTTATAAAATCAGATTGACAATTTGTAAGACAATACAAAAAAAAACATCTGGAAATATTAAAGACAATTTGAAACTTTTAACTTTTGAAATTAAACAACTAAATTATCTAATTTTTATTTTTAAATTAATAATATTCAGTGCCCTTTTACTTAATATTAAATATTAATCTACGTTTTTATCTATTCCCGATGGTAAAGTTATATCAAATACGATAGGAGGGTTACTAGGTAAGTAGTTCAGATCACATGTTGATGCATTGATATAAATAATTTTGCCATCCGACGATATGCCATATCCTGATAAAAACAATCAATAATGAATAGATATAAAAAAAAATCATTTTAATCATAAAAATTTCATAATAATAAAGACATTCATGCCATGATGAACAATAATGCTGAAATGAATCAGAAAGAGTATATTTTGAGTTGATAAACAATCTATTACCTTCATGGATGTGGCCGAAAACATGATATTTTGGTTTTATACGATTTTGCACACTTGATAAAAGTTCAACACATCCAGCTCTCACTCCACTACAACATAAATCACCATGTCCTATAGGCGGTGTATGAGTTACAAGAATGTCAGTATCTGATGGTATTAATTCCCATTTTGTAAGACAAGGTTTACCTCGAGGTACATTAAAAGCCCATTTACAAAATTCAGGTTGCCTATCACATAAAAATGACTGATAAATATTCGGTATTTTATAAAATGTAAACTTTCACACATACGTATTATTCATTAATAAAAGAAAATAAATAGTTATTTGTACCAAGGTGTTCCATAGATTTTAATTCCATGTATTACGACTTCAGAATCTTCTAAATAAGTACAATTTGTTAAATAATCCTTAACATTTTCAGTTTTTATCGCCTCTGCTAAAGTATCTTTTGACATTCCGAGAGTTGGAATGTTATCTAAAATACTGGTTCCCATATGTTTATGTCTATCACCACTATTTTTAGTTGTAAAAGGATGTGTGAATGTTGAATCAAAGCTCAATTCATGATTTCCAGCAATCACTATTTTATGGTTGTGAGGTAAATTTCCTTAAAAACAAATTATCAATAATAAATCATCTATTTCAATATTTTCTATTATTTACAATTATTTTTTATCCTTGCATGTGAACATAAGTTTATAATTACCTATCCAATTGTTGAATTCAATTACTTCTTGTAAGCTTCCACATTTTGTAAAATCACCAGCATGAATAAAAACATCACCATGTGGAATATTGAACTTGATATATTGAGTTAGAGAATGAGTATCACTCATGCATACTACTCTCAGCTGAAAAATTTAATTAATTCATTCATTAATTAATTTATTAACTAAATGATACGTATGACGGTATGTATAACTCAACTATTAGTTTATATACTAAAATCAAAATAATTGAATATTTAATTCTTTATTAATTTTTACATTCAACAATTCTTTTTTTGTTTATATAATATTAAAAAAAATATATTCTTATCATACCTTATTACTTGGAGCATCATTTGTTGGTGGTTTAACATTTATTTTTATAACCTTTTGATGTTGTGACAATTCAGACCAAGCAGCGGTAGGATTATTAGTTAGAGGATGAACTTCAATAGCCATAATGTTTAAACAAATTCATTACAAATTATCGATGATACTTGGCATTTTTTAGTAACACTTTAGTCATATATATTTATAAAAGTATACAAAATGAATTTTGACCGTCGACCTGGAATATAACCTCACATTCCACTGACATGGCAGGAGGCTGCTATGTGTTGTATTTCAAAAGAGAAAATCAATCGATATGTTTTAACGTATAACAAACTCTTTCTTGAAATTTATCATTATTGAAAATACCATTGCAAAACGGTTATAATTCATAAAACATATTATAAATAAAATAGAATTGACAAAGTAACACATAAATTCATGTTACCGGATGTTTGGAGTTTCAAAATGATTTTAAATCGATTAATCGACTTTTTGATTACATCGATTTAAACACAAAAGATGTAAACATGCATACAATATAGCTCGAAAATTGACAGTATACATATATATATGTATTAAGTCTATACGTATACAAATATAGATCATTGAAATAAATAAAAAAGTTTATACATATATACTTATTATTCGTTAACTGAACTTTGGACTTTGTTATTTTCTGATCATCGTTTTATCATTTTTATTTTTCATATAACAATTCGAATAATAGCTTTTACATTATATAAAAAAGTATCCATTTGCTTTTAATTGATATTCTTCTTCATTATTATTTCATTGGATTTTGGATACTACAGCTTGTTTTCGGAGTTCAATTGTTCGTAATTTTACAAAGTTAAAAACAACAATTACAATCTTCTAAAATGTTCATAAAGGTAAGAATTATTTTATCACAAGTGCTTTGTTATTATTAATAATTAGTGGAGTAATATACATATGGAATTATTAGGTGCTTGATAATATCTCAAGATCATCATATCGATCAATCTGTCGCAATTTTTCAAAATCTGCTAAATTAAGCAATGGATATAATTTTGGTATGTATTTTATTGAATTCATTTATATTTAATATTATGTACATATACTTAGCATAGAAAATATAATGTTTCTTACAGAACTATCAGAAACGCAACAAGAGATGAAAGAAACTGCTGATAAATTTGCTAGAGATGAGATAATTCCAGTTGCAGCTCAGTATGATAGGAGTGGAGAATATCCTTGGCCAGTTTTGAAAAAAGCTTGGGAAACAGGACTCTTAAACACTCATATACCAAAAGATATCGGTTAGATATTTTTTATTTTTATTACAATAATCAATTGAAAAGATTAAATTAAATACAAAACTGTTCACATATTTTTTAGGAGGATTAGAGCTAGGGTCGTTTGATGGATGTTTGATTTCTGAAGCGCTTGCTTATGGATGCACAGGAATCATGACAGCAATAGAAAGCTCAGGACTTGCAGTAAATTACATTTTGTTGAATTTATTTGATAATTTAAAAACTTCATTTGAATTGCTGCATTGAATTGTGCTTTTTTAATTAATATAACAAAGCTGAATTATAAAAATCTCTAATTTATATCTTTTTGTAGCAATGGCCGATAATTTTAGCAGGGAACAAAGCTCAACAAAAAAAATATCTTGGAATGTTACTTGAGGAGCCACTTGTTGCAGTAAGATTAACCATTGTTGTTATTATTGTTTGGATTATTCTTGAATACTTAATTGATGATTATTATCAGGCATACTGCGTAACTGAACCAGGAGCTGGTTCTGATGTTGCTGGAATCAAAACAAAAGCAGAGAAGAAAGGTAATGAATGGATTCTTAATGGTACAAAAATGTGGATTACAAATGGAGGAGTAGCTAGTTGGTATTTTGTACTTGCTAGAACTAATCCAGATCCAAAAGCTCCAGCTGGCAAAGCATTTACTGCATTCATAGTTGATCGTAATTTACCTGGAGTAACTCCTGGTCGTAAGGTAATGAAACAGAATATATATTTATTGTTCTTATGTACATATATTAATGTATATTTAATATTTTAGGAAATGAATATGGGCCAAAGGGCATCGAACACCACCATGGTGACTTTTGAAGATGTTAGAGTACCAGCGGAAAATGTTTTAATGGGTGAGGGTGCTGGATTTAAAATTGCTATGGGAACATTTGATGCTACAAGACCAATGGTAGCGTGTGGAGCAGTTGGCTTAGCTCAACGAGCTCTTGATGAAGCTTTAAAATACTCTTTAGAACGTCATGCTTTTGGAAAACCACTTGCAGAGCATCAAGCTGTAGCATTTATAATAGCAGACATGGAAATTGCTGTAGAAACTGCAAGATTAGCTTGGATGAAAGCAGCGTGGGCTGCTGATAAAAAACTTCCAAATGCTACTAAGCTTGCAAGTATTGCTAAATGTTATGCAGCTGATATTGCAAATAAATGTGCTACTGATGCTGTTCAAGTATACGGTGGTGCTGGATTTAATAGTGAATATCCAGTTGAGAAGCTCATGAGAGATGCTAAAATTTATCAAATTTATGAAGGAACTTCACAAATTCAAAGACTCATTATTTCACGTCATCTCTTCAAAGAAGCTCAAGCTAAAATGGCTTAATTTAATTGTTGATATTTTTTCGATATATACATTTATAAAATGATATTTAATTCTTTTTTAAGAATGTTGTGAACAAGGAAATATTTTTGTATAAAATTAAATTTAATAGAAAATTTTTGATATATGAATCCATCCTATTGATATATATATATATATATATATATATATATTTATAATAAAAAAAGAAGGTAGCTTCATATAATCGATTAATAATGTAATTTTTTTTTAATACTTTTTTATATCCTTATTTTTATTATTTATTAAGGAATAGAGTACAGTGACAATAATAACATTTTTTCCCGCGCAAAGTTGTAGATGGCACTGTAAGTAATTTTCAGTTATAAGTGACTAGTTAAATGGTATTATATTAAATAAAATTGTTACGATTATACGATATTACGTCTTCGATGCGATATTTATGTATGCGAAAATTCTTTGTTGAGTCACGTGTATAAAATTATGCAATTTTTAGTGAATAAAAAAAGTGTTCAGTAACAAAACTTAACGCGACTTGTGACACCTGACCTACTTTGTGTACAGCATTTATTTACTAATCACAGTGAATGAAATTTATAATTTATTTTTCAATTACCTCAAGATAATTCGGTGTAGTATATCATATATGATATGAGAGAAAAACATGTTTATTCTAAACAAATAAATAAAAAGTATCAGTTTTGTTCATTCTGATAATTATTGTTTATTGTTACACTTTTAACTGTTATCAACGGTTACTTGATATATTTGAATAATGTACTATCAAACAACGCATTATAACCTCCAATTTAATATTGACTTATATTTATTCAATAGTTAACTGAATAATTCTATTAACTAAAATAATTCAATTAATAAATTATTGTAAATAATCTGAAAATGAATTTAAATGAAAGTGAAATTGAGTGTACTGAGAATGTATGTTAAAAGTGAAATTGACACAGTTTACTTGTTTTCCCTTTCGTTAAATCACTGCCGTATTAACTGGATGTAAAGGCGGGAAAGTATATTTTAAAATTATTTAATAAATTAGAATATTTGATAAAGAAACAGTAAATTAATTCATGTCTAATAAATAAACCAACAATTTTAATAAAATAAAACATAATAATAATTTTAATAGACATTAAATACCAAAACTTGTGTTATTAATATTAAAAATGGTTTAATAACTATTCGATATAAAAAAATTTATAATTGTTTATAGAAGATTATAAAACATAACCATAAATTTGACCATAAAATGTCTATTAAGCCGTCCATCGTTACGTAACTTATAAAGAAGTGAATTTGCAAATTTTACACTGTGCCTTGTGTGATATAGCTTCAGTCAATTTGACATCAACAACTGTCTTCGTATGCCTAAATGAAATAAACTCGTAGTGTTTTCCATAATAGTAACTTTATTTTAACGTGGTATAACTTGATAGACATACATATATTAAAATAATGAAGTATACGATGTTTAAATTGTGAAAAAAAAGATAATAAAAAAGTTGATTGAAGATAAACAGTACACACAATCGAATTTTGCGTCTGCGCTTTAGTCAAACTATTTTCCGGTGGCATCGCCCAACGTGTGTGCACATCCCTGAGATCCATTTGGTGCTGTCAGTGACTCGGCGCACACAAGAGATCTCAGGGATCTTAAGGAATATTTAAAATTGTAAGTAAATATATGTGAAATGTATAAGTTAAGGTCGAATGCGTAATCCAACAATACTGGTATCCTCTGGACTCTTAGTGCAACACTGTGAATTTTATCAAGACGCATTGAGACACTCGCTTGACTAAGGGAGTGCCGGTCCTGTGTGATATCCCCTCCCTTACCCCTCACCGCCAATGCAAAGTGTAAGTGAAGTGGCCTACAGACCTACATTTGTCTGACGCACCATTTTTTCGTCCCCAAGACGCGGGCCCACGGGGCTTTATAACATCTTCGTTGGCGTCATTAATTCAAGGTATTTACGTGATTATAAAACGATCAATTTACCGGGAAAATAGTGTTATGAAAGCAAAATGATGTCTTGAATGTAACGGCTCTTGGTGAAGGTTTTTCGGGCAAGCCCGGAGAGAAATAGAGTGGGATGGAAAGAGTGAGGTTGTATGGGTGTATCTATGTATATGAGAAAGAAAATAGGTATACTCGAGTAGAGAGAAAAAGAATGAGAATGAATGTGCGAGAATGAGATAAAGCTGAAATCACAAAGCCGGTGTATAGGCTTTACAAATACGAATAAGAAAGATAGAAAGTAAGAAACAGAGAGAAAGAGAGAGAATGTGTGAGAGAATAAATGAGATAGTGAATTACTGAAGAACAAAGACAACAAGTATACACGTCTGTTATCCAGTCGACACGGGGCAAGGTGAGGTGGTCACGGTGTTTTCCGGAATGCACGAGGACCGAATGGCAGCCCCTGTCGACAATATCGCACCCCTGGAGGTAACGCCAGCGGCGGAGTCCTCTACTACACAAGTTATCCCTGATGGAAACGTTAATGATATTGGATTAACTAGCCATCAACAATCAACCTCCACAAGACTATCACTTAGTGATGTACATACTGATACAGGTAAGTTTAGATAATAATTTATGACAACAAGAGTTTCTCTATTCAATCACTTTAATCTATTTTTATTATTAACTCTTTGTTGTCTCTGTGTCTATAATATACCAAACTTTATCCTTTCTTTTTCTTCTTCTTTACTTTGCACTAACCTTTCTTTTTTCATCTTTCTTTGTTCCTTTCTACTTACACTACTTTAATAACATGTCTGACGTATAATACTTCTGTACCACACCAATCTACGTAGTAACGCGTCTCTACTCACACTCATCATTTTTCTTATTCCTTCTTGCTTCTCCTTCCTTTTTATACTCCATTCCCATGCCTTACCTTTTGTCACTCTCACTCTCGATTAAGGACTGCTCTCCGGATTCAAGTCAATTTTTTTCTTATCCTTTCCTTTTTATTTCACATTCTTTTTCATATCATTTTATATTAATGATAATAATAATATTCTTTTTTAATTTATACCAATATTAGTAAATAAGATAATACATTAAAACAATTATAGATAAAATTATTTTTAAATGTACCACATAAATTTAATTAATTTATTAAAATTATTTAACATTATGATCTATTTTATTTATTAGATCAATGATATTAAAAATACATCATAACAAAACACTTAATATTAAAATTTTATTTTATGATATACATTAGTTTTCAAAAACAATTGCTTCTTTTGTTGGGGAAGAAACAATTGATGTTTTTTAATGTGGTCATTTAAAACAAATCTTTTATTTATAAAAGTTATTACATTTACAATAACAATATTCGATTGTATATTAAGAAAAACATTAAATAGACCGAACACTAAATGTAGGTCAGATTGTGCTTCAAATCAAGAATGATTATTTTTATTCCACTAAGACATTTTTTCATTATTTATTTACATAAAAATTTTATATATATTATTACTTAATTACTTAAAAAGTATATACATTTTTATTGTAAAACATTCATATTTTATGTAAGATAAGAATAAAAAAATTACGTTTATTTTACAAAATCTTGAGATCTCTGTCTTATTTCGGTAATATTACTTCTAATAAGAAATGTCATTAGTTAAGTAAATTACCGTTTATTTTTTTTTTCTTTTCTTTTTTGACAAATTTATCTCCAAGTGAGAGTTGGGTCAACATGGTTTTAAATTGCACAACATTCAAAATGAAGTGATGACAAAAGAATTACAACCTTGTTGAAAACGAAAAAAGGTTTTTTTTTTTTAACAGCTCAATTTTAGCCGGAAAATTGACTTTAACAAGGGATACTTGGGTTTATGGAATTTCGTGTTAAATTTTGAAAACAAGGGAGGGATACAGCCACGCGACGTTTTAAATTTAAAGGACTATTGTATAAATATCTCCACCATAAATTAGTCAAAATAGAAAACAATGTTTAAGTGCAACAAAATGTCCGTGCTGTTGTATTATTCAATAGAATATTAAACAAATAAATAATAAATCAATTTTTGGATGTTAATTCAATTGATCGAAATGAAAAAAAATAAATATTTTTATTAATTAGATAAATTATTAAATAATGTAATAATCAAATGAGAGTGAAAGCATTGAGATGGGTAAATAGATGAGATAAATAGTACTAATGTAGTAAAGAAAAAAAGTCAACACTCCCCACTGAGTTGAAGTAATTTAGTGAAAAAAGAAATTGACATCTGCTTTTACCTGTGATGGGTGCATCAATTGCACTTGTTGCGCTTTCCAAACCTATACCTTTTACTATGTGCACTCTGTTCTCGTCATTCTTAAAAATATTTCTTTCCAAATTACATTGCAATAAATCAGGATTATCCCTCTTGTACAAGTCAGGTTCCACATAGAACCATTTTGCAGCGATTCATTACCTTTTCATCCTCAAACCCTAATATTTTATAAACTCGTGCCTGGCGCGTTCCTTGTTTGAATTTCTACTTCCATTTTAAACTTACTTATTTCTATTATTCATAAATAAGTCAATACATTTACAGCTATAAATACATTTGTTTAATGTAAATCAGAGTAGGAACACATTTTAAACTAAATAAGGAAAAATTTTCAATTGTTCTCAGAACTTACATTTTAAAGTTAGTAATATATAATAGTCATCTTTCATTGTTATTTATTTAAACAAGATACAATTTTTTTTGTAGTTAATAATAATATTTAAAAAATAGTAAACTAATATTTAAATATTGATATTATAACCAGTAATATATGATGATTGATAAATTTAATAGTTTTTGTCATATGAATATTATTCGAAATACACGTGTAAAATAAACTCCTACGCGTGCGTTAACGTAATCTTTTTCTCCGTGCAAATAACTTGCGTTGAGTCGTCTGACCCACTTTGATAAAACCTCATATTGAAATAGCTGAATAATATTAAACAAAGACAAACTTGTACACTTCTAACTAGAATAGTGATTATTTTTATTTTCATTATCGTATCTATCTCTGTATATTTTAAGCTAAATCTTATTAAGAAATATGATTAAAAAATTATAGATATTTTAAATTGTAAAAGAAGATAATTATTAATTTTTTTTTTTTATTTAACAGCCATTAATGAAGGGGGAAATAATATCTTATTAATTTTACTAATTCTATGTAAATGTATTTTTACTGTTGGTTTAGAGAAAATTAATAATAATTATTGCAAGTATTTGATTAAATATGGTATATGACATTTGAGATGATTAAACGAATCATTACAGCCGATCGAGAACTTGTTTTTAGTTAAATGTTTCGATTAGTGCTCTCACAGGTGGCGCATACACCCATATACGAAAAAAAACTGTTTATTTTTTGAAAATAATATCTTAATTAACTATTTTTTAATTGGAAATCAATCAAAATTATGTAATTATTATAACAAAAAATCATAAATATAATCTAATATATTATAATGATTATAGAAAAAAAAAAAATTATACAACTGAATAAACAGCTTGAAGTATCAATTGATTTCTGTATATAAAATTTACTCAAGTATATTTTTTTTATATTATTTATAATTTTTGAGACAAAAATTATATTAATCATACATTATACATCTACACTCTTTGCTTCTTTAATCATCCCCTTACTGATTAATCATTATTATTACTAAATTTTTCTTTTATTACTCCACATACTCTATCTTTCCAAATTTCCCCAAAAAATGATAAATTATCATTTTTTACCAAATTTTGTTAATCTTTTTGTTTTAATTCATTTTAAAAACAGCAATGCCTATCATAAAACAGGAAATTAAATAATAATAATGATCAGATCAAAATATGTAGCCAATAGTAGGTTATAATTTTTGAAAAAAAATCGGTAATTATTGTATAAATTGATGTAAAGTACAGAACAAAAAGAAAAAAGAGTAAAAAAAAAGGCCGTAAATATTCGTTCTTTTTTACTCGCCATTTCGGAGTGCTAGTTATGACAAATTGTATTGGGTAATAGCGTCTCTCCGTGAAGTAATACTTTCTGTTATACTACGCGGGACATGGTTCGTGGTTTTTAATACGCGTCCTACTTTCCGCTATCTCGCGAATACGTTCGGGTATTCTCGGGCTCCATCGTATAAGTAGAGTGGCTGTTACTCTGTCTGTTTTATACTCACTTATCTGGTATTCATTACGCCACATGACGCTACAACGATAGTTGACGGGAGATAACTGACGCATACTGAAGCTTCGGAGAAGGATTGAAATTGAAAGTGGCTTGTCCAACTGGCCTACTGACCTGATTACCTACTGACAATGACATGAATCCTTGCTACCGTCGTGTTGCTTCTCTCGCGTTAGCATTCCCTCGAGGTTATGTTGTCTCCCTCAGGGACAAATAAATGCAGATCTACCAAGAAATATCTTTTTTGTACTTCCTGATCTGTTTGATATCATTTTAAAATTCACTACTCTTGTTATCGTTTTTTTTTTTTCTCTCTCTCTTGCTAAATCACCATTTAAAAACAAGGACGATGAATCGACTTCTATAATTAATCAAACTATTTTCTTATTTTCTTTGTCAATCTATAAATACAACGATTTATATTGATAATTTCCATTGAATAAATTTCACAAATATACAGTTCATAACAAAAGTATCAGTTTATAAATATTCAACTTATTTTTGGAGTTTTATTTTATTCAAGTTGCATTGATTCAACTATTATTTTCATTTCAATATGATCATCTTACGAATAGTTTATTTATAAAATTTTATTCAATAAATAATCATTTTTATTATCAAAATTAGCAATACAGTGTCTTAAACAAGTTTATGCTCGATATTTAATTATTAAAAAAAAAAATATATATATTTTTCTTTATTTTAATTTATCGATTGAGCATATTTATTTAATTGAAAAAAAAAGTAAAAGTTTCTAACAGTTGGGGAAGGACATAATATTTGAATGTTCATAAATATATACATATATATATATATATAGGCGTAGGTATATTTTGGTGTGTGTGTGTAAGTTTTTTACTTTTACTTGATGTTCAAGACAAAGATAAAAAATATTTTTAAAATATTTTGTATGCCTCGTCACAGTCACTCTCGCTTTCGGCATAAAGATTCGGGCTCTGTAATGTTTCACAATATTTTCTCAACCATGCGGCTAACACACGTACGCCACTCGAACTCACGTATTATTTCATTCTATATATAGATATAGTATTAAAAAGCGCCACAGATTCAAACTGCCTACTTTCGCTAGTTTGCGTAAGATTATATATGTATGTATTCAGTTAAGTTGAATTATATTAGCTAATGCCCAACGGGGCACTTGCAAGAGCTTACATTTTAATTCAACATTTATTTTAAATATTAACATTTTTTTCAATTCAAATAATTCTATTTGAAATTAAAAAAAAATATATATTTACGGTTATATTACGTATTTTATTACAAAGATTACGGTAAATATTACTTTAATGTACATAATATTCATTAGTTAAATATGAAAAAATATTTATAATTGTAAATAATGACATTTTATGATAATATTTT